TGCTCCGCTGGCACGTTTGGGAACCATCCTTCACCCCCCAGAGCCGTGACGGCACATCTTCCCCCACCACTGATGCAACATTTTGGCTTGCCCCAAAGTCTCCCCAGTGGAAATCACAATGCGGGGTGAACAAAATTGCATAGGTCGTCCACAGATTTAGTAGGATTTGGATTTAATTGCAGCCTTGGCTACAACCCAAAGCTGCACAGCTCAGCTATCACCCCAGAAATCTCCATCCCAAGTAACAACACAGGGGCTGAGCATGGATCTTCCCACCACCGGCTTGTTCGAGCCCTTTTCTTTTTCCCAACCAACCCGTTCTCTCCGACGCTCATCGCGCCGTTATTGCTACCGAACGCAGGTGAGTGCCTCGGGAAAGGGGGACGGGGGATAAATCAGCTCAATCTAAAGCAAGGCTGAGGTTACTTACCACCAAATACAGCATGGTGTAGAGGGAGAAGGACGCGTGTCCGGAGAAGAAGGATTTCCTGCAAAACAAAGCAGATGCTAAGAAACAGCCACTATAATCTTGGGCATTACAATTTTACAGGTAATACGGTTACTTGCCTGCTGCTACTGAGAGAGTGCCAAATCAGAGGGACCCACAACCCCCAATCTTTTGGGTTATAAAATGCCTGTTATCCGCCCCGCTCGCTTGCGAGGCAGAAAGTGAACGGATGGACAGGATGCTCACATTGTTCGTCCCTTCCTGGTCTACTCATGGGACAGTGGTTATTTCCAGGATAGCCCGATAACTCATCGTCTCGCCTCAAATAACCAGGAAACCGTAAAGAAATAAGAAGTGAGCAACTTCTCCGGTCGCTTAATTTTTTGTGGCATGTGAAACGCGCCCCTGGAAACGTCAAAATTGAGCATCTGATGGATTTGACAGAGAGCTTAAAGGGGGATGGCAGCCCTGCCTGCGTGGAGCCTCCTCGGGGGGTGGCCTCTGCTCTGCCGCGTGGGACAGCTCGAGCTGTTCACCACGAGCTCAGCCCTGACGGTGAATTCCCACACTGAGCAACCACTCCGGGAAACAATAGTGTAGGAGTAAAGAGAAAGGAAAAGAAATATTATTCAGCCAAGTCCCGCAATTCCCGAGGGAAACTGCCCGTCGCCGGCAGACGGAGTTACAGCCTTCGCAGAGAAAGCAGCATTTGCATCATCTACTGCTGGCAGAGAAACCCCAAGACATATTTAGCGTGAAGCACCATTTTGGTGGCAGCAACCCATCGCTTTGATGCCACGGGCTCTCACCTGGCTTCCTGGACCTTGCTGTCGCTTCCCCTGCAGGTGTAGTTTTGGATGTAAACTCCTTTAGCGCAGTTAATGGTGGAGAAATCCAAATCGCAAACTTCCAGGAAATGCGGCCGCAAGCGCCCGACGGACACTTTGGCAATGTCTGTGAAGGACTGGCTGATGGCGCAGCCGAAAACGAAGCAGCCCACCTGCTTGTAGAGCGCTGCCACGTAGGGGTTCTGGATAAAGGAGCGTGACTTCTCCTTCAGGTAGTGGATGCGGTAGAGCTCTCCCGTTATGATCTGTGGGGGAAACACAACAGAGAGGGTAGAGAGCTGGAACGATGCTACACAAAACCAGCAATGGTGGCAAGTGCAGAGCCAGGACAGCTCTTCGTGCTCCCAGCATCTCGAACCAGGAATCTGCCTCCACAGTGAGGAAGGAGAGCTCATAGCCCAGCACCTCTCCATCCTCCTCCTCTTCCTCCCTCTCACGAAGAGATTGCAGTGCTCAAAATGTTGTTTATGGAAAAACTCGATACACAAGAAGAAAGAAAAAAGCTAGATTTTGGTTCAGCGCATTGGCATATCTTTACGGAAGTGAAACAGTACCCCAGATCTATACCAGCATGGCAGGGAAAAAGAAATTAACATAAACCAGGTAAGAATCAGTGTGAGTTTGGGAAGGAGAAGCCAGATCCACCACCTTATTATCAAACTGATTTTGGAGGAAAATAAACGAACAATCTGCTTATCTTCCTCTCTGAAAACCATGAACACAAAAGGGGAAGACTCAGAAAGCCCCAAACTTTTGAGATTCTGGCCCAAAATTTGCCACCACCAGACCCAATTCAAGCTGCTCAAACCTTCCATGAACACCAGCTATTTCTGGGCATTTCAAGGCGTCTTGCCATTGCGTGGCAGCAAATTATGTATCTCTTGTGACAGAGGTGCTGGTGTTTGACAATATCGCCATAAACCACAGTCAGAAGGATCTGACTTCTCATAATCCTGACTCTTAAAAGGCAGATTAATGAAAATCAGGCTGTGAAATGAAGTCCAAATGTCTCACCTCTCCCAAGGAGGCAAAGGCTTAAATTGTTCTTTGTCACATTACACACCTAGTTTTTGAGCTCCAGATTTACAGCTTTAGGATTTTATTCATTACTTTAAATGTTTTTATACCCGAGTAATAAATCGAGGCAGGTTTGTTGTTTTTTTTTGGCTACCCCCTCGTCCCTGCCCCTCTCTAGTCACAAGGACTGCGATACGTAAAATTAACCGTCAGGAAAAATGCCTTCACGTTAATCCCTTTCTGGAGCAGCCAGCAATATTCCTCCTGGCGTGGCAGCCCGCCAGCGGCATGCAGGAGACAAGGCTCCCCTGCCTACCTTTTTTAAAAGCTTGGCACAACCTTTGGAAACTAATAAACTGGAAAAGTATGGCAATTAGTCTAAGAGGAGATGAAGCTCTATCGTTGTTTGAACTCACTCATACCATGGCTTGGAAAAACAAAGGTTGACCTACGGCAGCTGAAATTGCAGCTAAGCAGGCTTTATCAAAGAGAGGTGAAACTATAATAATAAAAAATAAAGGCCAAGCTCTCCGCTACCATGCACAGAAATACTTTGGGTGGCTGCACTGTCATCTGGCATTTACATGTCACCACTAAGATTTACTCTTGGAAATCCAGTCATGGCCAAGAGTTCTCTGCGGAGCTGCAGCTAACTGGCTCCAGCATCATTTTAATCCTCTCAGACTCCAAAGACCATGGTTTATCTCCATTTTGGACCAGCTTCCAGCACAAGCTGGCAGCCAGGAAATCTACAGGCATGAGGGAGGTTGGAGCATCTCCTGCTCCTCTGGCAGGAGGCCACTCCAGGGTATCCTGTACAGACACAGATGCTCCTTCACAAGGGTACGGCCACTGCCTGCAAGCCTCCCAAAAGCCTAAATTTGCAAGAAGGGGGGCCACGGGGCTCAAAACTCATGGCTTTTGCAAAGGAGAGACGAGACAAATTAAGGATGACATCTGATACTGGCAGATGTGCCATTACTCCACACTCACAAACAGATCCACGTAAACCCAAGGCTCTTGGCCTGGGAAAGGCATGTGACCATTTTAAACAGGGACCAACAAAAGTCTGGGGGTTCATATTTTTCTCTCACCGTTGGTGGTCTGGGTAATTGCACACATGTAGCAGATTGTAAATTGGAGACTTCATTCCCTCTCTAACACACTGCTGGGCAGCCATGAACCCTCCCTGCTTAGTTAAAGCCATGGCTCAACCTTAATGGGAAGCTAAAAATTGAGTAAACTTGGTTTTCTGGCAGTGCCGTCCCAGATAAAGCAGGATGGTGAAAAAACTAATGCAGCACAGATGTGCATGAACTGAAAGGACATCCTGAAAAGAAAACAAGTCTTAAAGATATTAAGCTCTTCTTATGCCTTGCACCTCTGGTGAACCATCTGCATGGGACATATGCCATACCTACGTGATGGGCACAGCTCCTGGGGGACTGTCACACACATTTAAGAAAGAAGGTCACTAGAGAGAAGCCAGTATCAAACTCTTCTATCTGTGAATGCCTTTTGCAGACTTTTGGTTGTCATGCCCATTTTATCGTTATTATAAGGTATCACCAGCGATCCAATTAGCCTGTAATTACTTTTTAAGAGTTTTTCTAATCACTTATATCTCTGGTGTAACGTTCTTCATGTCTAATCACATTGAAGCGTATCACCTTCAACTGTAAAACAATCAGCTAATCCAGCTGTGTAACTTAAGATCATGTAGGAAATTAATTTTCTTGGGTATTTGTCATAGGCTTTCAAAACCTATCAGGCGTGGGGACACAGAGCGGCTCAGCAGCAGTAACCGTACGAGGCTCAGGAAAAGGAAAATGTCACCTTCCCCTGGGCATCCCAGGGATCACCAACATGCTTCTGTGCCAAAGATGATCAAATTAACCATCTTCCAGCAAGAGCAGCAGTCCAGAGAGATGTGAGAGCGCACAGCCTGGGGGCACGAGCCTCTCCAGGGTCATCTGCACAGAAATTTGCCTGAAGTCAGTAAATATATAGGTATTAAAAGCAAATGCATATCCTCTCACATCCTTATCGAAGCAAAGGTCTTTGCCTCTGCTGTTTACTTAATGAGCACTCTGGGTGTCCTCAAGCCATTTAAAACATGACCTGGACCTTTTAACCCAGGCTAGACTGCCCAGGACGCCACATAAAGCAAGGGTGTGAAATTTTGGCTGCGCTATCCAAAATGCAAGCTCCCTGGAAGTCCTTATAACCGCTGTCCTGCCTTCCAAAGGCAAACGTTGTGAGCAAAAGGAGCAGAGTCAGTGCTTTGTGGATTTGGAAGGAATTCCTATTATGCTACAGTAATGCTGGTATCTGGGTTACATCTGAAAAAAGAGGTCAGGCTGACTTGAATTTTCCATGCATGCTGCCATAGCAAAGAAATCTGTTTCTTCAATTCCTCGTTAGCCATTTTTATCACTCAACAGCAAATAACCAAGCTTTTGAATTTACATTATTAAGTTACATTTGTTGTGGGCACAGGAAAACCAGGGCAGAAACATCTAATTCTTTGGGGATTTTCTTTCTCTTTTAATTGACCTGCTATTTCGTGGTAGAAAGCTGATGGATCACATAGGCAGCTGGATTATGTTTCCAGTTTCTGTTCCAACTCCTGTATTTGCCACCGTCTCATTACTGATCAGAAGCACACTCCGCATGGAGCCGGCATGCTGATAGCTCAGGCAGTAATGCGAAAATGAGAGGCTTTTTCATTTTGTTTTTATGGCTTTTCCACACTCGGGGGTAATTCACCTGCAGGGTAAAATTCTGCCGTGTTTATAGAATTGGGGGTCTGACACCTTTGGGGCTTGTTTTAAGGACAGAGGGGGCATTGGAACAAGGCAGTTTTGGGGACCTACTTTGCTAAGTGAGTATATGTGGTCAAGAAATGATGGAGAGATCAGGAAATGATGGAGAGATCAGGAAATGATGGAGAGATTCACAGCACGAAGCAGCAAGGCTGGGGATGGGGTATTATCAAAGCAGGCACCGTGCCATGCTAGAATATCTATTGCCCATGACATTGCTCCTGTGAGGAAAGATGAAAGCTAGGAGGGGAACAAGTGCTCCTGACCTCTCCATCTCCATCTCTCCCCAGCTGAAGGACGAAGAGGAAGGCAGCGCCTCTGGGAAAGCACCTGAGCTGTGCTGGCAGCAGGTGAAAAGGAAAAAGTAGGTACTTATCCCAGGGGAATTTCATCTTCAGCTGGAAGCATTCAACCAGCAACCAGGAGACATCCCTTGCCTTTTGCCCCAGCACCAGACACATGCTAGCATAAGGAAGCTCAGCTCCATGGGCTGAATTCAGCTTTTTGGCTGACATATAAAGCTCTCTCCCTGCAAATGTTTCCTAGCACAGCTCTAGGAAACCTGGCAGGAAAAAGAGAAGTGAGGCAGCATTGGGAAGGTGGTGCATTAACTGCTTTTTACAGTAAGGACTCTGGGAATATGCTCCCCGTGGAAGATTTTAGTTGTCTTTTTAATATGGCTGTAATATACAATCTCTTAAAAAACCTAATACTAACCTGTGAAACTTTTCCAGGCACTAGTTAGCTGAAAAGATGTATCCTTTCTTTTTTTTTTTCCCCCCCAAACCTTATAAAATAGGCAAATACCAAGAGTTATTTGAATAGGGACAAACCATGCCAAGTCCTTATTGACACTCAAGTCTTTTTGCTTCTACTCTGAACTCATACCGGAGGGTGAAAAAGCTCTTGTGGAGCTCACAGACTTGCCCAAACAGCTTTGGGCCTGTTTACGGGCTTCAAGAGTAATCTCATTCCTCCCTTTACAAGCTTTCATTTGCAAATGTTTACTGCTCCACGCTCACGCGGAAGTCAAATAATCACAGAGGAGATGTGCAACTCAGTAGATAGTACAGACACACCAGCAAGATGGCATTAAACCTCCAATATCAACAGGCTGTTGGTGCCATCAGCTAAAAAGAGGTGACAAAAAGCCATTGAGGATGCCCAAGGGACAGGAGAGGAGGTTTCGGAGGTGGTACTTACGGCGAGGATGGCGATGAGGATGCCCGCAGCACACAGCACTGCATCGTTGATTGTCTCCATTGTCTTCAGCGGGTACCTGATGCTGTCATCATCACAGTAGAAGCCCCGCTGGTAGGGCTGGATTGTGCTCGTTTCAATGATGAGGAAGGGCAACCCAGCTAGAAAGAAGGGGAGATAATAACCGAACCCATCAGCAATACAGGCAAACACAAGCAACTCGCCAAAAAGAAAAGAAGACCCAACTAGAAAACCCCTCGCAAACCACGCAGTACGGCTCCTGACGCTTGTCTTTTCATATTGCTATCTTTCAAAAGGGAACAGCATTGGGATTTGTTTTTCCAAATCGCTCTTGCAGGGAAAAAGCATCTCCCCTGTTATGGTGATCAGATGTCTGCGCTGCCTGGTTTCAGTTAAGCCTTGTGCATTGCAAATATTAACTTACAGGAATGGACCCCCAGAGCAATCCCTCTGCAAAAAGCCATGAAAACGAATCTGGCACTTTTCTCCAGGGAGGGCCCGATGCTCTGCCGAGTGCCCCACGGCAGGGCAGCCCAGAGCTGTGCAAACAAACACTGGAGGATCACGTATCGGCACAGCTTCTCCTACCTGGTCAGCCCAGCTACACTCCATCCCCATTACTTTTATGCCTTTGAAGCAAGCCTTCCTCGGCTCCTTCTTCTCTGTATTTACAGGGTGTATGTATGTTTGTACCATACCATAAAACTATGTGCTTTGAGCAGCTGCAGGACACCCATCCTTGACCCATCCATGCACAGGGAGGTGGAGCACATACCCAGCCAGCCCATCCACAAGAGCTGCTGAACTCCCATCAGAGCCCGTTCGCCTTCGATCACGTTAAAGCCACGTCAAATCAGTTCTTAGACTCTGTTTGGGAACCCTCTGTGCAGGAGACCTGCACCTGCACAGCTCAGCTGGACCTCTGCACCAGGCATGGAGAAGATACACTCAAAAACACCAGGTGATGGGTTAGGACACATACTATGGAGGGGACACCCCAAAATTGCTGTATGTGTGTAGCTCTCTATTCTTCTAAGTATTTCAGAGAAATACAGAATTGCTTCAAACCTGGAAGGAAGGCCCTAGGGTATTTCCCAGCCATGACATTACCTCGGGCAGGGCACCCTCCTTCCCTTCGCCTCCCTTTCCCCACCCATCTTTGCTATTAAACCCATCACCACGAGGAGCAGTACATCCCACCAAAACAAAGCCCAAACTCCCTGAAACCCGTGTTCAGAGTAAATCACAAACCACAAGGTACAGGAAACCCTCCTCCCACTTGCAGAGCGAAACCCAGGTAAGGGGCAAACAAACGCACAGCGGTTCAAACCGTCCTTGGGCCAAGACAACAGGACTCGCACCCAGCTCCCACAGAAAGCACTAGGGAATATTTGTCAACCACTAACTTGCTTAAGTATCTGTGGGTTTGTTTACACAGCAAGAAGTCTAAGACATCAGAGAGTTTTTCCTTCTAAAATAAAAAAAAGCCAAAACCAAACCAAACACAAAAATAAAGCGCTGTTGGGATTGTCCGAAATTTGTCCATGGTACATTTTTAGTGATCATGATCTGCTAGATGTAGCAAAGGTACCATCCAGGCAGTTAAAAAGTGTCATCAAAATAATGTTCCCCATCTCGATGTGAACCACTTTCCGTATTTCACTTTGCGCAATCCATTTTGGCTCCTTTTCTTGTACGTTGATAGGTTTGCCTAATCCAGGATTATTAGGGGGTTTTGTCAGTCTTAAGAAAAAGCAAAATTTCCACCATCTGTGAGCAGGGACAACCACACACAGACCTGAAGCCTCTCAGGTACCCAAGAGCAGCCAGGGCCACCGCTCAGGACCCCTTTCAGATCTTCTCTAAAAAACTCTGGAAATGGGGTATTTGCAAGCGCTGGCCCTCACAGCGCTTGGCTGGGCAGCACGGTTTCCACCACACATGTGAACCAGCAAGGAAAGGCCTGCCCAGCTCAGATTTGGTAAATAAAATCAGACATCTCGTGTGAATCCAGTTGATCTTCATACCACTATTTAACCGTTTTGATGCCTAGCCAGCTTGGCCCCAAAATGTGCCTCTGATGCCAGCAACCCAATATTAATAGGCCACTTAAAGAATCCTTAGTTTCCCAATGAAAAATTGCAGGAGAAGAGCTAATGTCATTTGGCACGATCCAATTTCACATGCACTTGAAGCAGCGGCGTAACAGTTGAACTCGGGGAGTAGACATGCCACGGTTACGTGGCTTATTGTTATTTCTCCAGTTCCTCTTGTTAATAGCTTTCACATGACAGGTCTGTAAAACACATGTTCCCACAGACAATAAAATACATCTGAACGCTAAAACTGGCTTTAAAAAAAAAAAAAGAGAGACACAAAAAAAGACAATAGTGTTCCTATATATTATGTGAACCCAGGAATAATAAAGATTTGTTTTCCCTTCATTCATTGAACAGCATGGGGTAGTATTTCTATATTTCAATTATACGTGCGCTTACCATACCTAATAATAAGAGCATGACTGACCTATATGGTATACATTTTCTTGAAGTGCACATAGGCGTAGTTTAGAAAATCCAATGGTTTTGTTTTCTCTCCTACAAACTTGTGGTTTAGCGGGATATTGCCAATCAAGTCTTGACATCTTTCCAGCAAAACAGTAACCTCAGATTCCCTTTCCCCCCCGCTTCCCCCCCCCTTTTTTAACATGAGAAACATAAACATACTCTCCATAGCTGAATGGATATTACTTAAAAGACATAACACACCCTTGATTTCAAGGGCTGGGAAAGAGGTTGCTCTTTTAACCCAAGGAAGAGAAGACCCCAGCCCATGCCAAATGGTAAATCATGCTCAAGATGGCTCTTCTTTCACGAGGTTATTTCTTGGAGGACGGGTTGTCTAAGTGACTAGGTCACCACCCACATATTTTTTGGCAAGGGGGTTCCAGCACGGAAAAGACTGTAGCAGTGCCAAAAGGCAGCCAGAAAATGGGTTTTGCAGAAAAACACTACAAAGGGAAGTCTGGAAGAAAACTGAGAATTAAATGTGGAGAGAGAAAGATGCCTTTGGGATCCCTCAGCAAAACACCACAGAGACATTACTCACACTAGGAGATCTGCTGGAGGCAAAGGTATCCAGAAGTGGAGCTACAGCACCCTTGGAAATGGAAGGCAAGCAGTATAGGGTGGTACCATAAAGACGGTACATCTGTCTGGCCTCATCACTTCTTCTGACCCGTTTTTGCTCTCCAATTCAGTGTTTTAAGAGGAAATTCAGAATATGCATCCCTGGCCGCAGTGATTTGCATCTACAAATTCAACAGCACCCCATAAAGGTGCAAAGTTTTCAACCTCCACCATTTCCCATCCCTACCCACAGTACAAAACCACTGAGAACACAAGAGGTACATTTCAGAAGATGGTAATGAACGGTATTTGCATTGAAGTGAGCAACAGATGTACATGGCAGGCAAAAAATTACACTGATTTTGGGATGGTCACTTCTCCAAAAACGGTCTTACTTGGCCATTCTGTCTTTGGCTACAACACACCTACATATACAGACCTATTGCACAAATCTTCAGTAACACTGTAGAAGGGCCTCGCGTCCTCCTTAATACTGGTGTCTCCATGCTGAGAAATCAGACAGCAGCCTGGGGACCATACCCTAAGGCATGCAGGCAACCCTGGCACATCCATATAGGACTGCGTCACCGGAGAAGCACTGTTATCCCCATCTCACAGATGGAGGACACTAAAGCACAGAACAGAAGAAGAACATTCCAATGCAAAAAGCAAAAAAAAAAAAAAAAAAAAAAAAAAAAAAAAGGTTAAAAGGAGCTGAGATTACCTTCTGAATTGTAACATCCTTCACAAGGTGAAGCAAAGGGGTTTTTTTCCCTTATATAAAGGGGATTTTTTGCTTTAGTAACAGAACAAGGAAATCCTAATCACACGCTTTTATCTAGCTATGCTGTAGGAGATCAAACAGGGCTCCAAACCACGAGCATAACAGAAGTCTCCTGGGTGCTGATCCTGCCCCATCCAAGCCCACAGGAGTTTTGCCATGGGGTCCATGGTGCGGAAAGCGGCTCAGCCCTGCACCAAGTGGCACGGAGCAGGTACGGACTCTAACAAATTGTGCGAGGCACCACGGGACACCATGGGGCTGGACATTGAAAAACGATGTTGCTTTTGTTGGGAGGAAGTCCAAGTGACTTGGTGACCTCTAACCACTGGTGTCCTATGCTAAGATATCTCAGTGCAGGGTTTAAATTTATTTGTCTTTCCATTTAATAAAGCCAATCAAGTCTGGAAATCTAGCACCAAGGTAAAAATAGTCCTTTCGTTGGTTAGCACCTTTATTAAGAGGCAATTAATAGGCAATAATCCTGGGAAGGCTGGCAGCATGAAAGCTAAAACCCCACCACCAAGTCTAAACAAAAACCCTTGCAAAACTCCCATGTACTCTCTGACCAGCTTGAAATGTGCATAAAATCAAAGGCAGGAGAAAAAAGGGCTCTGTGTTGGGTACAGGACTTTGAAAAGTTAACACTCGTGCAGATTTGGAGGGGGGGGCAAATAAATAAAAAAGGGGATAAGCTTTCACTGGCCACCCATCGGAAAAGCTGCAGAGGGAGGATTGGAAGAGGCGTTTCTGCAGTGACCCATCCCTGCAGCTCATCTTCCCAGCCCAGCCTTCACCTTTGCACTAAATTAAACACCATCACAGTCTTTTTTTTTTTTTTTTTTATGTTTGGTTTTGACAGAGGTTGGGTTTTTTCCATTAAATCTTTCTTCTTTCAACCCTCCAGGTCAGTGGGATGTTGCTGGCTATCGCAACAAAGCGATGGTAATTTCTCACAAGTACTCTGTGATGTGTTTGGCTGCCAGTGTCCAGGCCCTGGGCGTGTTTTTAAGGTTTCGGTAGATTAGACATCTATCTTAATAAGTGAAAAAGATCATTAAATAATTTGGCAGAGCTGAGCAGGACATCTAATTCCTCATTCAAGACACACTCTGTAAATATTTGGGTACCTACAAGTGACGGACTTTCTATTTGAAGTACTTAAGTGGCTGATCTTGGGTACATAAAAACCTTATTTGATTTACAACATTTGTAAATGTTTTAAAAATGCATAAAAACTAGATTAGCCTGCAGTAGGCTTTTACTGGGGCTTTAAAAGTGGGCTTCCC